CCGACCACCTCCCCTAACTTCCAGCTCCAAGAGAAACTCCTCTTCTTGGATTCTCTTGGTATAGACTCTTTCCATTGCCTCACTTCGCATTCCCTTATCATCTCCTCTTCCTTATCCGATCTCAAATCAATTATTGACTTTCTTTACTCCATCAATCTCACCATTCTTGATATCCGGCGCGTGCTACACATGTGCCCGGACATTTTAACCACACCACTTTCCTCCATCCTCCGCCCCGCCGTCACCTTCTTGCTCCGGGAAGCTCACGTCACCGGTGACAATCTTCCGTTTGTTCTCCGCCGCCGCCCCCGGCTGCTCACTAAATCCGTAGAACAGAATCTTCGACCCACCCTTTACTTCTTGCAGAGTACTATTGGTATTGAGGATGTTTCAAAGTGCGCAACTTTACTCTCTTGTTCTGTGGAAACTAAGTTTATACCCCGTTTGGATTACTTTCTGAGAATTGGGTTTTCGAGGAGAGATGCGAAAGTGATGTTTAGGAGGTTCCCATCGTTGTTCTGTTACAGTATAGAGGATAATTTGGAGCCGAAATTTGATTACTTTGTGGTGGAAATGGGGAGGGAGTTGAAGGAATTGACTGTATTCCCTCAGTATTTCTCGTTTAGCTTAGAGAAAAGGATAAAGCCGAGGCACAGGATGTGTGTTGAGAAAGGAGTGTGCTTGTCATTGCCTGTGATGTTGAAGTCACACGAATCGCGATTTCGTGATAGGTTGGATGTATGTTGTAGCTCTTCTATGCCGGTGAGAGCTTCTCCCTTTTGGTGTACAAAATTTGATCATAATGTGACATAGACTGTTGAACTTAAAAGGAAAAGGAAAATGGAAAGCCATATTGCCATTTTGTTTATAAAAATATATCTTTGATGATCATTTTATTCTTACCTATTTCCTGGTGGTATAAATTCTTGTTAGTTTTGTACTAGTCTAGTTTGTATATATTCAAATTTGCTTGGGATCGAAGCATAGTTGTTATTTGTGGTAAGTGTTGCGGTTTGATTGGATATGTGGTAATTGATAAGGTTCTATTAGGAGTCGAAGCCAGGTAGCTGCTGGATTCAAAGTCCAGAGTGCTAAACCACTAAACCATAGAACCAAGTTAATTAACTACCTGGTAAGTTAAAAGAGGGAGAGTAAATTTGTTTAGGTAAAAGATGTTTATTATGAAAGGCCAAGTTTTTTTTATTCTTCTACAGGGAGAAGGGCGGACAGTAATATCTATATGTTTGTTAGTATCTATTTGGAAAATTGTTGCCCGTTTATTGTATATGAAGAAACTAGTAACACAATAAGCATGGAGTTGAGATACATGGCAATTCCTTGATAAAGCAATACAAGCAAGTAAGGGTGTTAAGATGCTAGGATGAGGTGTTGATTTTAGGTTTGAAGCATTTGTTTTATTTCTCTTCCCTACAATTCGGCCCTTTCCTTACTTGGATGAAGTTGATAATTTTAGTTACTTTCCCATGTAATGGAAGGGATCAATTCATCATTTGCCAATTCCAGAATTTCTCTGATGAAATCCTATTGCTATTAGGAAGAAAGTTGCAATGATATTGGTCATTGGAGGAAAAAAATTCCTCTATACTTGGCCTTTACATCTGTGAGAAGCGGATTCAGTTAGCGAGTATATGAATATCTTTAATCTTTAGCACTTCACTTTCTCATTTTATTATGGCAAAACTGTTAGGTTATGTCTAATTGCAAACAAGTTGATAGATCTTATTAGATGCTTAGTGAACCATTTTTAAAAATTATAATTGATCTGATCTGTTTTTCTATCATTCCCCATCTTTTCGACCAAATAATATTGTATTGTGTTTTAAGTATCAAACATTGTCCTAGGGAACTTGAACTGGCTGGGAGTAGGATTTGAAAGAAGAACCAGTTATGAATACTGAAGAAGAGGGACTAATCTGAGCTGTTGACTACTTCCAATGAATTACAAATCACTCAGCTACAAAATCAATTTGTTGCGTGGATTGCTTATCATACCATTTATTTTAAAGATTTTCTCAGTCTTGTCATTATAATTCCCTCCAGTTTAAGGTGCGGAGGTCGAGCATTAGGGTTGTAGGCTAGGAGGTAGTCGAGCTTTTTTCTACTTCGAAGCGGGGGTGAGGCTAGTTTGATAGGGTTGATCTTAGACAGCTAGTGGTTAATGTTGTGTTCACATTATCCTTCTGTTTTATATAGCTGCGGGCCTTAACTACTGGTTATTGTTATTACATGTCATTTATTTTTTGTTTTTTATGATGTTGTTACCATTTCTATGATTTTTGTTGACGGTGAGATTTTACTGGGTCGTTGTTCGAGTACTTGAAAGGTTGTGAGTAAGTTTAGAATATAAAGGACACTTTTGTTTCTACTAAGCAAATATGCCAAAAATGACTTGTTGAGTAGTTTTCTTTTGGAGGATATAAACTTATTCATGGTTGTGATCTGAAAATGTTTAGAAGCAAAACATTCTACCTTAGTCGTATGAAATAAAATTTAACAGGTTATAGTGATCCACTTTTCGGGTAATCTCTGGCTGTGTATGACAATTGCAAGGCTTGTTTATGAATAATTCTTCATCTTCCAAACGGCTGTGTATTTCAGTGTTGAAGACCTGTCTCTGCTAAAATGGTTATGACTTTGTGTAGGAAAGTCCAGTTTGAAGTGTTGAAAACTAGACTTCAAAGGGTTCCTACAATCTTCATTCAGAAACTATAGACAAATATAGTCAGATTAATTGATTGGCATTAGACTAAGATATAGTAATTAAGAAAGGTGCAGAATGAAAGAAACAAAATATTTTATTAAATTGAATAAGTAGACTGAATTGTTTGTTGTTGAATTGAATAATTGATGTGCACCACAATAAAAGTAGTCCAGTTTATACTTATTTGAGGTGTGGATTATTGAAATCCTTACGGTGTTAACACTAAAATATTTACTCTAACTAAAGCAATATATATTGTAAATGAAGAAAAACGTTGGTTGTAAAATGTTTGAATAAGATGCAATTAATCCAATTGAAGAACTGGAAAAATTACTTTTGGAAGCAAGGCGTTATCCTCGACTAGGTGGATCTAAACTTTTGTTCTTAAAATAACGAAATGTATATCGGGTGAAATTTAAAAATAGTTAGATTTACAAGTGGTAATTGAAAAATAGTCACAGTTTCAAAAGTAATTGAAATTTAGTCCCTTTTCATATAAAGATAAATCTGAACGAAAATATTGTTCAAAATCCTAAAAATATTTTAGCATAATATACTGGAAGTTCACACACATGTGCACCAATCTCAAGTATATTATGCTGGAACTTTTCATTGTGCAGCAAAATATTGACTAGTTTTTAATGACTTTGCAAACGCTGACTATTTTTTAATTACCAGTCTGAAAATTGACTAGCCTGTGCTATTTTTACATGTATATATGGTTGATTATATTCTTGTACTATTCAAATAAAAAGTCACCTCATTCAGATTTCATTGTTTCTTTCAAGGATTATGAGGCTGGAATACATTTGCAATTTTAAAGGCCTCCTACTAATTGATACTGGGGACGCTGCAGCCAGTGTTCATATATTAATGGAATTTGAACTTAATATATCTTTTTTTAACATTTCATCTTGTAATTGATATGTTTGTCTGACCAAGTAATTATTTGATCATCATGTAATTGAGTATAATTAAGGGGGTATAATTACACTCTCTAATTCTCAGGGGAGAGTTGAGAATTGTTGGTAATTACATCGTGTAATTACAGGATTATTTTTTTAATCTCTTTTCTTTTCTTTTTAATTTACTTTTTATTTCTATTCTTTCTTTCTAATTTTTTTTAAGTATTGTTTTTTACATTATTTATCTTTTAATTCATTATTTCTCATTTTCCAACCTTTACTTCATGTGTTTCTAATATAATTTCTCATATTTTATTTATTTCTTAATTTATTTTTATTTTTTATTACACTTAGCTATGTTATTATTCTCATTTGTCTAAAAATTATACCTCTTAATCTTAGAAAGAATAAGTCATCCACAAACTTGACTTATACTAGTAATTAATAAACTTGTCATGTCATTAGAGTAGAATCTCATTGTTGAATGTGATTAGACTTATATTTTCCTTTTCTTTCTGAATTATATTTACTTAAATTATGTTGAAACTTATTTTATGTTATATTGTAATTTGTAGTAAGAGTATGATGTTAATTTTTTTTTAATTTTGAATTTATGTTATATTTTCAGTTCCATTTTATTTGCTTTAGTAGTATTGACCTATAAATTCAGATTTGACGCCATTCATTTTTCAGTTAGAATTGATAGATTATTTTTTCATAAAATATTTGAGTAATGTTATGGAATTACATTTATAAATATTAGTCTTTCTATCAAGTAATTAGTCTGTGATGTTCTTACAAAATATGTACTTTTAGTTTTTATAATTAATTAAAGTAAAATATTATTAATATGAAAAATGTATGTCATTTATTTTTTTATAATATTAGTGACAAATATCTGATTAGTAATTAATATATTTTCAAGAAATAATATGCATCTTAAATGTCAAATTTAATATTATTTAATAAGTCATATATTAATCTTATCTTTTAATTTTTGATAATTAACTTTATATTTAAAATTTAATTTAACTTTGTAATTACACGTGTACAACCAAATATTACACTTGTAATTACACTGTAATTATACTATGACAACCAAATATGTCATCGTAGTTATACCAATTCCAATTACATGGTGGCTCGCCAATCAGACCCTCAATTTTGGGTTCAATTGTATCTTCTTTTTCTTCCCTTTTCTAGTGGATTAGTCTTACCAGCAAAAATAAATTCAGGATTTAGAGTATGTTGATTCAAAATAAATGTAATCTTATTTTAAGAATGCATTTTTCATATTTTATTTTTGCATATACATATATAATTCAAGCCGAAAGTATTAAACTCAATTGAAAAATAAAAATAAAAAATCGTCCTAAATCCGCCTTTGATTATCACGATATTAACTTACTTACCTTTTAGTTAAAACAATTCCGATATCATGCTTTGCTTAATCTACAACATAAGTTTGGTCTACTACTGTATAGCAATGAAGTTTTGCCCTTTTCTTTAGAAGCTTGCTTTGGCAGCATTGGCTATCGTGGAAAATAATAGAGCAACAACCGGGCGGCTCAATAAATATAGAGGCCTAAAGCAAAAATTTAACGAGAGGCCCTTTTTTTATATAAAAGAAAAAATTCATATATAATTTCATTTAAATTCTGTATTTCTAGTTTTTCATATGCAAAGTTATTATTAATTTTATCTAATCAATTTAATTTCTCTTGAGATATACACGTTGTGAGACTGTATTAAAGTTTTAACTTTTTTTGAGTTATGAATTAATAATCGAATCATTTCTCAATTTATGGTCTAGAGAGTGATTCCCAAAAAGATATTTTTTCTCAATTTATGATCAACAATTTAATCCTACTTTTTTACTATAAAAATTTATACTTTCTCATTTAAAGCACTAAATATTCTTCTAAAATTAAATTAATATATAACCTATTAGAAAAATTTGGGGCCCTAAAAATTATGAGGCACAAAGCAGCTGCTTTAGCAACCTTACCCTTGGGCCGGCACTGTGCAACAATATAAAACATTTATTATGAAGTGGAAAAAAATTTAATGAGATGTCTTCCCACACCCCTCCTTTTTTTCTTTGACAATTTTTAAAATGCTAGAAATTGACATGCGAAGTCTTCTATTAGCGCTCCTAGCACTTTATCACACATCCCTTTCCAAGAGGAAAATTTTATTTCTGACAAATTTTTTTGCTTGTAGGAGAGAAAGATATAAAATGGAAACAAGAAAAAGAAACAAGAGTAGTTAATTTGCTATGGTGTATTATACGTAGTATTTTAGGAACTTGTAACAAATTATCAGTGGCGTTAGTGGGAATTGAACCAATGACCTGACAAAAATTTTGAACCCCCTTAAACACTAAGCTGTGCTTTTGGATTGTGTAAATGAGATTCAAAATATAATATATAAAGGTATAAAACGAATTTTAACTTATATGTACGTGTAATTTTCCGACAAAGGGAAAACCCCTCCCGACCCCTAAATACACCCCTGCAAATTATAATTATAACAAGTGATAATAAAAAAACTCAGTTTATCTCTTGGCCCTACTAGTATTCACAATAGCCACTTCTGCCCACTCAAACAATCAACCTAACATTTGGGCCTATTTGAATTAATCTTAAGATTTAGTGCATAGCTCAATGGTGTTATCTAAATAAGACATGATTGGTTTGTCAATATGTAATTTCTGATCTTGAAAACGCATTTGGACTTTCTTGTAATATTGGCAAAAAAAATCTTGAGGGTAAAAGATCACAAATCTTTTAAAATCCATAACAAAGTACATTGTTGGGAATTGGGATTCAATAATAAGAAATGTTTATAAGATAGTATTTTTCTATATTAAAGTTTTGTTTCATTTATATAGTTTTCGAACATGAATATCAGGAATACATAGATTTTAGTAATTTTAATATAGTTTACGTGAAATTAACATAAACAAAATATTTTGTTAAATAAAGAGATACATCGAGGATAACATATTCCCAAATTCTATTTGTCATTGTTCAAAAATTTCTTTCCTTCTTCAACATATTTGTATGAACAACTATTGCTGCTAAAAATAATTAAAGCAAGAGGGGATAGAAAATCTTTTACAAGACGAAATACTATTCTTAAAATAATTAAAACTTTGCATTTGACATCTTTAAAAGAACACTTTCATTTGCATTTTCATCACATATTATGCTGAAAACCCCTTAAAATTTTGTTCTACAATATTTCTTTTGTTCATATTAGAAACATGAGATTCTAGCTTCCATTTCTAAAAATGGAAAAATAATCTAAAAAAACTTTATGAATACAACCAAAAGGGTCAAATTGGAAACAATGTAATACCCCAAGGGCCAAAACGAAAAACCAAAAATGAAAAAAAAACATTTTGCATGTTAATGTTTTTTTCTCTTCCCTCCACATCTATCCAAAACCAAAATTCCCTCCCTTCCCTCGTTTTCTCCCTTTCTTCCTTCCCTTCCAAAACCCCTTTCCCCCATTTCCACCCCAACCACCCACCCCCTATACCCACTACCCCTTCTCTAAAACCCTTCTCTTCTTACAATCCCAAAAATCTTTAGCTTAAGGGGTATCCATTCCATGTCTTTTGATACAAAAATGACAGG